TTTTTTTTTTTTTTTTTTTTTTTTTTTTTTTTTTGGCTTAAAGACGGAATTTATAATGAATGTATTCAAGAGAGTTTATGCTTGATCACAGTTAAATATGTTTATCGAAATTATTTTTTGAACTGAGTTTTCGCTTTGCTTTTTGGGAAATGCAAACGCTTTATTGAGTTCCAGTTTTCGCGCTTGGGTAGTTTTTTACTGCGTTAAATAATTTTTTCACAGATTCCATTAAGCTATTGGCTTAGTGTCATCATTTTTTAATACCATTGAAAGTACTTGCTTGAAAGAGCAGTTGAATTGCGCACTTTTATTTTGTTTGCTTCTGCTGCTGTCGTCGTTTATCGATTTCGAAACTATTCAATCTTTAGAGTAAACTTATTCTTGAAAGTGGTTTAGTCAGCTGTGATCGGTGCAGTAATTGTCTCATTTTTAGCGTTATGGAGGTTTCTTGAATCAGCATTTGGAAAGTAACACTCAATATCGAGTTCTGATGCGTGCATTTACTAGAGAACTGGAGGAAGACAATGTAATAATTTTGTACTTTTTTTAATACAGTGTTTTTGTACTGGTTAATCTATTTCTCGTAATTTAGCGGCCTGTGCCTTTGCAACATTCAAGAGAAAAGTTACAAGCAGATTCTGTTCCTTCCCCACCTTTCTCGACTAGAAGTTTTTACCACGTTCGTGAAGGCAAAACATCAAATCTGTGGCTAGTTGCTCCACTTATAGCCTTTCTTTTGGTCGCTCTGATAATTCTCATGCTTCTTTTGTGGTATGCTTAAAAACCAATTTTTATTTTCAATTAAAAATATGTTTTTCTGGCGTGGTTTTTTTTATTCTTTTTTTTTGTTTCGCTGTTTTAAAATTTAAGCAGGTCAGTGGTTTTGTTAGTTTTGACGTTACTATTGTAATTTTTTGGTCTGAATCATTGTTTTTGGGTTGAGGTGGCAGAGATGTAACAAGAAAGGGTCATCGCATAATACGAATCGTCATCCATCAATAACAAAGGTTGCTATCAATAGTAGCATTCCGGGTGAAACATCAAAACTGTTATCTTCAGAGGCGTACAATCGACAGGTGATGAGTCCATACGATCAGGTACACCATTAAAAAAAAAAAACGAAATTTATCTGCATAGTTACAGCAGTGATTTTCTTTCTGTATATTATTAACATTTTACAGGCAAATGGAGGCAACGGTTGTGTTATGGAACCTACTATGGACATGTATCCAGTGCATCAGAGCGTTAACTTTACTGCTGCACCGAATCCGATGTCAATGTTGCCTTCTAGTGGCGGTGCACTTGGAGGTCACACTCTAAACCATCCTCCAATTCCTATTTCAGAATTAGCTGCACATATCGAGAAATTAAAGATGGACAATAATGCCCTATTTTCTCAGGTACTTACTTTTCGCGGATCTTAGTGTTAGCAGTAGCTTCAGGTTTGACAGAATTGTCTTTACTTAAGGAATATGAGAGCATCGAGACCGGTCAACATTTTAAGTGGGAAAATTCGGTTTTACCGTGCAATAAGTCAAAGAACAGGTACGCGAACGTTGTT